AGAATATATTTTTAAAAATAGACATAAAGCATTATGTAATTCTCATGTTTACACATAAGTCCAAAAATCTAACCATATACAGCCTTGCAGCAGGACAGTCCCACATTCCTTTCCTGTATCTTGCCTTCAGTCACCACCCCCTTCTTTTTGAACAATCATCTACCCGAGAGACAGCACAGCAGCAACTGGCATGTCATGACAAGCAGCCTGTATTCAGAAGACCAGAATGAATCTCTTGCCATTTTAATGATTTTTGTTTAATTATATATCATGTAAAGCAGCTGGTAACTCAGGAGAAACCATGCTTTCAAGTATTTTAAAGTTCAAATAAAAAGAGGAACAGCTGTCGACTGAACAACATATAAATACATACATGGGACACACATGAATGTCTTTACAAAATCAAAGTGCACTCAAATATATTTCAGGTTAAATTATGTTGACCTTTTAAGTTTGTAAGAGAGACTAGTTAGAACTGTTGTAGGTCAATTAGCAAGAATTTGAAAAACATAAAAACCTCTTATTTATTGTTACCAAGTTTGAGTAGGAGCAAGCAAACTGAGAGGAGTATCAGGATTAGGCACATCACAATAGAGGAGCACTGGGCCAGGCCAGATAGTGCAGTGGATTAAAGCACCTGCTTAAAGGGCCAGCCAGGTAGCTCAACAGACTAAAGTTCCTACTCAGGCAGAGTAGAGCAGCCAGGGTTTGATCGCTGGTTTGCCATGCTGACCTTGCCCCTGGGGCACACTGAGACAGCAATTGAAACTGGGCATGGTGTCATGCACCTGTAATCCTAGCACTTGGGAGACTGAAAACAGGAGACTCACTGTGAATCTGATCTATGTAGTGAGACCCTGTAGACCCTATACCAAATACATAAAAATAAATAAATAAATAAATAAATAAATAAATAAATAAATAAAATAAAGTGGCTGCTTAGGTAGATGCAGGGAATGTGGTTCAATCCCCAGCATGCCATACCAGCTCTGTCCCTGAGGTGTGCTGAAACTGCAATGGAGTTTGGGTGTGGTGGTGTATGCCTATAATCCCAGCACTTGGCAGGCTGGAAACAGGGGGATCACTTATGAATCCAATCTGTATAGTAAGACCCTGTAGATGCTATACTAAAATACATAAAATAGAGGAGCACTGACAACTCACAAGTTCTGGACTTGCAGGCTGGCAAGAAGTGTGTTCTAAGGGAGGGACAGGAAGCTGGGACTCAGAATCTCTTTCTTGTGGCTGACTGTGGTGGGGGAGGCCTGCCCCTTAGCTCAGTTCTTTCAGTGGCTGCTTCAACAAAGCAGTCAGGCTCAGGTTGCTGTGGTTCAATCCCCACAACTCAAGCCAGCCAATCATGCCCTGAAGGCATTCAGAGAAAAAAAAAAAAAAAAAAAAAAAAACCTTCTGACTGTAACAGGATTGCCTGCCTGCTGAAATAGCTGAAGGGCAGGGGGAGTCAGGGGAGAAGGATCTGAGCAGCAAGTTTGGCTAGGAGAGTAGGAGAGATAAGGGCCTGTGTTTTCTGGGCTGTTGTCCTTGAGCACTCCATTGCAGAAGGAGTGAGCACATCCAGCCAGGGAACAATGTGTTATTAGCTGTTCTTGGATTGTACCTTGTCTCAAACTGAGAAACTTGAAGGAAAAGTAGATGCTAGGTATAAATTGGGAGCAGCGAGGAATGTGAGGAATGCAGGATTGGCCAGCAAAGGCAGATGAGAGAAAGGTGGGGGAGAGGGAGCAAAGAGAAAGAGTAAGTTATCTTCTCAGTCCCTGAAAGTTGAGAGTTCAGAAAGTGAAGTAGCATCCGTCATGGGAGGGGCTGCTGCAGCAGCACAGATGGTGGCAGCTCTGGTGGTGACCTATGGCAGCAGCTGTGGCAGGGGCTGTGGCTCCAGAGACTGTGGATCTGTGGGGCAGAGTGTAGGGGCAGGCAGAGCTCAGGATACTTGTGGAGAGAAAAAAAAGTGAGAACATAGGGGACCTCAGACCATTTCCCATTGCGGTGACAAAAGTTATCTAAATCAATGAATGTGTCATAATCAAGAGTTCCCTCAGGAGGGCCAAACAGTCTCACTGCCCAATTTGTATTGTGGCCAGGCTGTTTTGCAGAGAAAAACTAGACATTTGACTTTGAGGTCAGAGAAGCCTAAGGGGCCTCTAACAACAGACTTAAGACAGTCTAGAACATGATAATAGTTCTGAAAGGGAGTCAAAAGGGAGTTACCCATGGTAGCAGAGAGACAGAGTAGACAGACGGAAAATGAAAGGAAGCTGAAGGTGATGATCATGTTGTGGGAATCCTAAAAGGGATGTGGGGCCAAAGCCCTCCGAGCAGGCATCCCTGGCCAGAGAGGAGGCCAAGAGATGGGAAAGAGTGGCTCGGCATGTCAGTATGACTTATGAGAGAAGGGCCATGGGCCAAGGGTCATAGAGCTAGGAGATGAGCCATCCAAATGAGAGATAGTCACCCTCAGGAAAAAGTTAGAATGAAATAGAAAATGAAAGAGCAGAAAAGGACATCAGTATCGGAAAAGTTCTAGAAGGAGCCCTGAAGGCATTCAGAAGCTATCCAGTCCAGATATGCATTGAAGAAGTTGTAGAGGAGAGGATTGAAGGCTAGCCAAAATGAGAGTTTGGGAGAAGCTGAAGAGAAGACAGAAGACAGACTCTGGGAGAGGGGTCAGAAAAGAAAGTGTCATGAAGAGAGAGAAACTTAGTTTGGATGAGATGTCTGGATGTAGGAGTCAGCAATGGGTGATATCCAAAGCCCTCAGTCCACTAAGAAGAGCTGGCGGCGGACTGGGGCAAGGCCCTGGTCAGGAGGGACCAACAGAGGCCTTGGCATCCCTCCCAGGTTTCTGGCACCAAATGTTAGGTATGAACCCATGCAATCGACCAGACCAGGCATTCTGACTCAAGAAGAAGATTTATTGAACATAGGAACAAGTGGGCTAACTTCTAGCAGACCAAGACAGCAGTGAACAAGACAAAACTCAGGACTTTTAAGGGGTTTTGTGAGGAAGGTGTTTGAAGGCTAGACAGCTGAGGGAGAATTAATCTTGGCAGGGCTACCTGGTCTGTGGGCGACTTTCAGTGTTAACAAAGGAGACTTTCTGTGGCTTTCTGCGCCATCAAAGTTAGGCAGACCTACTCTGCAGGGTTTTGGATTTTTTTTTTTTTGGCTCCAGCCCACGGCCAGAAGTGAAACTTGGAGTGAGGGTGAGGGTCGTAACTAGGTTGAAGGTCCTAACTTAACAGAAATTAGGAAAATCTGTGCAAAAAAATTAATGAGCTGATAGAATAAATACAAACTATTAACAGACATATGAAAAGATGCCCAGGCTCACTACTAAAGAAATAAAAATTATAACAATGAGAATCATATTTTTCCACGCCAGATCTTCAAAACCTGAAAATTTAGGTAGTGAACACATTTAGTATTATCAAGGATGACAAAACATTCATTCTTACACCTTGTTGGTAGGATTGTCTTGCCACAAACTTTTGGGAAGAAACCTAATAAAATGTACTTTAATTAAGATAACATATATATGATCTTGATCCACAATCCCACATTAAAAAAAAAAATGTCCACCCAGAGCGGGAAAAAAAAACTAAGGTATAATAGATTATGTTCAAGAAGGGTAACTTCAGACTTTTGTAATGGGAATGGTAGTGGAAATACCAAGCACTCACTGACTTCTAACAAGGCCAGTGACCAGCAGCAGAGATCCAGCCTCTACTCAGAGCCTGCAGAGACCTCAGCACATCCCTAGTGCATGGTATTCTCCTGACCCCTCTTGCTGGTAAGAAAGCCAGTACCAGCCAGCTGCTGACATGCCAGCCAACTCTGTTGAGAAGATGAATGACTATGTCCCTCCCCAGATAACTGAGAGTTAACCATATGCATTGTAGGGAGCTGCAAACTTCTGACAATTACCAGCTGTGTTTATAATTCACTACTATTATAGACTATTAGGCCATATAGGGTTATATTGTTGAATTCAAACACCTATAATGTTTAGACTGACACCTAAAGTATAAAAAGATCCTTTAAAGACTTCTCCAAATACAGCTTCTCTAACTGCAGTGGAACACCCTTCTCTGACAAAACAACACAAAAAAGGGGGATATGTTTGGAGCCACAGATCAAATGTGTGTAGGTGGGAGTGGGCCTCAGTACCTAAAGCTACCTCACTCCTGAGATAAACATCCTATTTGGTTAAGATCAGCTATTAGTCCATAGGCAACCGTGTAGCATGTGTTACAAACTTTTTACAAAAGTATAAATAGAAGTAAGTTTTGTTATAGAGCACATTAGTCTTGCCCATCAGGCAGACCAGCAACCACCTAGCCCAGCTTTTGTCTTCTCATCCATCTATTCTCATTCCTGCCACCGTTTCTTCCCAAGTATAACCAATCACAGCAAGACCAGCAGATCCCTACAATGCATTAATAAGAATTTCTCTAAGGTGTGTGTGTGAGAACTTTATTAGAATTACTTGGGATGCATATTAAATAGAAATTCCTGGGCTTCCTTCCAAATTTTTTCAGGTAGAATCTTCCAGGATAGGGTCTTAGAATGTGCAGTTTAATGAACTCCAGGAATTTTTATGTACCTTAAAATTTGAGAATTGATAACAGAGAAAGTATGAAAGATATGTACCAAAATGTCATTGGTTATTGTCTGTAGCTGGTAGAAATTCCAAGAATTTTTTCTGTCTTCCTTATGCTATGTTGTATTGTTTAAATATTATACAAGCATGTACCATCTTTACAGGAGGAAAAAACTAATGTGAAATAATTTTCAAAAAAGAAATATGTTGTAAGTAATTATAAGTGAATTATGTTATACTAGTTTTGCACTGGCTTTTTCAGCCACAGACCTTTGCTATTCATATTTGTATCTCTCAAGAAAGTGTATTAAATATCATTCATTGTGATTAAAAGATACTAAAAAATAAGTATTTGAATTTTATTGATTACATATTTTAGGCTTTCCAGCTTAATGCTTCTGATACAGCAGATATTGAAGAAAGTATTTTTATGAAGGAGAGAGAGAAAGATGTTAAAATTCCAAGAAATCATAGTGAGTATTATTATTAAATTCCAAAAAGTGGATTGATTAATTAATATAGAAGACAAACTGAACCAAATGCGATATATTAGTGGTAGTTGGTTTGCACCATTCCTTTTCTCATGTACTTATTTAAAATTCGTATACATTATATAGCATAGTATAAACTATGTTGTTATGATATATAAGTTCTAGTGTTTAAATAGCTTTATACTTTATTAGTGTTTAAATAGCTTTATAGTTTGTCCATTAGTCTCTCATTAGAACCATTAGGTAGAAATAAACAATGAAGGGCCAGCCAAATAGCTCAGTGGATTAAATCACCTGCAAGCAGGAGCAGGGTCCAAGGATTCAAGCCCTGGAGCCTGCCATGCTGGCCCTGCTCCTGGGGCACACTGAAATGGCAGTTGAGACTGGGCGTGGTGGTGCACACCAGTAATCCCAGCTTTTGGGAAGCTGTAAACAGGTGGATCACTATGAGTCCGATCTAGTAGTGAGACCCTGAACACCCTATAGATCCTTCCCTAAAATACAAAAAAAAATTTTTTTTTGAAAGAAAGAAAGATTTAGTAAGCAGCAGTGGCAACCTGTTGCTTATAGCGACACTCCATATCATCTGTACATTACCAGGCCAAATTCTATAGCTCAGGTAGACTTGTCTGAAATGAAATGCATACTGATAGATTACAGACACTTTGTTATGTGCCAGGGATAGAATGTGTGTATGACAAGTTCTCTGCTCCAAAACAACTGCTGTTTCCCCTGATCGGGGTTGAGCCTCCTGTGTCATCCACTGGTGCTACATTAGGATGCAGACTTTAGCAGATATGGCTGCTGCTGCTTCCCTGTCCCTGGATTTTTGTATGCTATTTGGGGGAGAGTACAATGATTAGACATATAAGTTTTCTTTACAAAGTTTTAGGACAATTCCTAGTACAGCCCGAGCTCATCTTAGCAGTGGCAGCTATGTGAATTCTCTCTTTTTTTGGATTCTTCTGGAATATCTTAGTGTCTTTTTAGGTGGCTAAGCTATTTTCTGTGTGAATACCAGCCTATTTGTATCTCCCTTATCCTAACCAGTAGATTTTCTAAAATGATAGGTCACAATGTAAGTGTAGAATGTGTATTATTATCTAAATATTTGCATTCCCCCAACTCTGACCCTGGCCCCAAATTCGTATGTTGAAATTTTAATCCTCAAGTTAATGGTATTAGGAAGTAAGGCTTTGGGGAAGTGATTAGATCATGAGGGCTTTGTCCTTATGAATAAGATTGGTGTTCTTATAATAAAAGCAGTACAACCGAGGCCCATCAGCCCTTCCACCACATGAGCACTTTTCTGTGCCCCAGGGTGGATCTCACCAGATCCTGAACTTGCCAGTGCCTTGGTCCAAACATGTGCGAGATGAAGTTCTATCGTTTCAAGGAAACCTCAGTGTAAGGTATTTTGTCATAGTAGTAAACAGAATGAAACCATGTGGAAGGAAGGGTAAATGGGTTCCAAATGTGGTAGACTCTAAGCTTTGTTGCTTCTTCTTCAAACATCAACTATTTCCTTTTGCTATTTTAGCATATCTAAAAATTATTCATAACTCAAGGGAAAACTCACAAATGATACTATTATGAAAAAGATAAAGTTATAAAACTTTCCTCACGTAAATTTTAAGGGTTACTTACCCAGTTCAACTAAGAATGTCTAAACAGTATTTAAAGAGTTATAAGTATATAGTATGTATATGTATTTATTTTTAATAACTATGAGAGACTATATATAAACAGTCATTGTAGCATTCTCTAGGATATAATTTTTCTAAAAATTCTATAAATAAAATAGTAAATTTCCAAGATTGTAATGAAGTTTGAATTTATGCTCAGTTACATTAAAATATTTTTCTCTGCAGATTTTGATTGGCAGTGGATTATCTTAGATGGTCCAGTGGACACCTTGTGGGTAGAAAATCTAAATACTGTGTTAGATGACACCAGGACCCTGTGCCTAGCAAACAGTGAGAGAATAGTGTTAACTAATAGAATACGAGTGATCTTTGAAGTGGATAGTCTCGCCCAGGCCAGTCCTGCTACTATCAGCCGGTGTGCAATGGTGTATATGGTTAGTTTCAAAATTAAATTTCTTAATGACAGAAGTTGTTTCAGATAGTAACTAGCCATGATATACAGTGTAGTAGCGTTTATTTTATTTTTACCGCTGAGCCTGGCAGTGTTCCCAGTGCTTCACAATCCAATCTTGAATGTGAATATAATTACTCCTCAGAGTAAACTCAGTAGTTTGACTGTCCATATTTCCACAACTGCAAAAGCTTTCGATTAGACATGCTGGTGTGAAGTATTTTTTCCAGTGGAGAAAAGATTGTTCCCAGTCCTTTTCTGATTCTAGGACTCTTGGAACCAAGACAACTATTGCAGTCAGGGATTCACAAGAGAAACAATACAATATAGGACATTTATAAGATTATTTTATGATAGTCACCCAAAGAGTCATATACAAAGAGAGTGCAGGAAATCTGTCCACACACTAAAGATCAAAGGAATCCAACTGAGGGCCTGAATCCCACAGCAGTTTTCTACATGAGTCCAGCTGAAGACCTACAGCCCGTAACAGTGTCTCCCACAAGTCCAACTGGAGACCAGGAACGCACGACAATGTCTCATGCAGGCCTGTTTCAAGGATCTGCACTGTGAAGGCCCAAAGGTCAGTGGTGGAAGCTAGAAAATCTGTGCCAGTGGGATGAAGGATCCGTGCTAGCAGGCGTTGGGATCTGTACTGGAGCCAGAAAGCAACACTCAAAGTGAGAACCAGAGCTCCCCCAAAATTACCATAGTCATCTGCAGCAACAGCGAGGTCCCAGCTCCTCTGATGGTGAGAACAGCTGTGTCCATATCAAGAAAGCCAGCACAACAAGCCTGTCCAGGATATTGAACCACCTTCCCCTCTGAAGCCAGGAAGTGATGCTCAAAGTAAGGACTATAACTCTCCAAAGTGAACTGTAGCCATTCCCAGCAACAAAAAGGTCCCAGACTCCTTCGATGGTGAGAACAGCTGTGTTCTCACCAGGACAGCCAATGTGACAAGGTCCTCCAGAAGAACCAACAGCTTCCTACTTACAGCATCCCTTCTTCTCCAGTCTGCCTCTTATGCTGCCAGCAATAATCCTCACGTGGCTTTGCACACCCAGCACCATGCTGGTTCATTTCAGCTGCATGTCACAAGTTGACCACCAGCTGTCAATCCACCACAACAATAAGGGGAAGAGGACACTGCAGAAATAACATTTTCCATACCTGTAATTAATCACTAGCCAAGAGTCACACTAGGCTCTCACCTCCTTACCTGAGTGTGGGAATGAAGCCAAGATGTCAAGGTGCCTTCAGGGAGAGAACTTGCTCACGTATGTGTCAACAGCCTCCACACACACCCACACACATATACTCTCCCCAAGCACTTCCCCTCTTCTAAGTCCATGGTTAAAAAATCACAAGTTGTTCTGGAACATGGTAATGCCTTGGGCCATTTTTTCTTTTTCCTTTTATTTTATTTTTTTTATTTATTTATTTTTTGGTGGAAGTGGAGATTGAACTCAGGCCCTTGCGCTTACCATGGAAGCACTTATTCCACTAAGCCATCTCCCCGGCCCCTTTTAATTGATCATAATTTTAAGTCATACTTGACAAGGGTGGTGGTGAAGTAAAAAGGTAGGAATTAGAAGCCCAGATCTTTATTTACATAAGATTTTATTGTGTTTTATATTACTAGGATCCTGTTGATCTGGGATGGGAGCCTTATGTTAAGTCATGGCTTTCAAAAACATCTAAAATGATAAGTCAATCAGGAGTGGACTGTCTTGAATTCATGATTAAAAATAGTGTCTCCAGTGGGCTACAATTTATAAAGAAGCATGAGAAATTTCTGGCTTATCCTACCCAAGACATAACAATCGTCATAACTCTCTGCAGAATTCTTGATGCTTTCTTTGAATTTATGAGTAAATATGGAGGATTTGGACAAAGTAAGTATTTTTGTCTGTCACATTAATGGTACTATATTTCTAACAATTTTTAAAATCATTTATTTGTTTGTTTGTTTATTTATTTATTTATTTGGTATAGAGTCTTACCATGCAGCTCAGACTCATAGTGATCCTCCTGTCTCAGCCTCCCCAGTACTGGGATTACAGGCTTGCACACCATGCTCAGTTTTAGTGGCCTACATGGTGTGAGGCTGGCATGGTATGTGGTACTGGGGATTGAACCCGGGTCCTTGCTCTTGCCAGGCAGGCACTTAGACCACCGAGCTATCTCTCTGGCCCAATGATACTATATCCTAACTAGTCAACAGTAATTTATCACCTTCTATTGGATTTTCTAAAAGAATATATAGTTAGGATAAATTTACAGCTACTTTCACTTAACTCAATGAGAAGAAAGAGGTGTACTAACAGTGTTTGGACAGAATATCCTGTCTGCTTCTTGTACTATGGATAACTACTAAGAAGATAACAATGTACAGTGTATTGACTATCAAAACTGTCCTATTAATCAGCTGTGAAACTGTCTCAGTCATATTTATTTCTCAATAAAAAATAAATATTAAAAAATTTATTTTAAAATAAATAAATAAATAAATAAATGAAAATAAAGTCAAAACTTCTTCCAAAGTCCTCTCAGAGTATGATTTACAGAGTATACGGAGACAAGAATCTGAGCCAATATATTGTATTCTAAGTGTAGATTTGGTTTCTTATATGATTTTAAAGGGGATGTTTGTCTACTTAGCAGAATTTGTTCTCTCAGCTCCTGGAAAAACAGGTGGAGTCCTCAAATAGTACAACATTGGTACTTTTAAATTCTACTACTTCTATTTCTACTAAATAAATGTATTGCCTATATAAAAAATAAAAGAATATAAAGGGAGCTCCAGGGATTTTCTGACTATTCAGACTAACTGTAGGCATGCGTATAAACAACACTCTGTAGAGGGTTGGCCCAATAAAAGTATTAATAGTGTACGTGCTAAAGGGTCATAAGAAAAATGCATATAAGACCTTTAGATGTCTCTATTAGAGAATAATATGGTGTATTTAAAGTATTCTTCAAGTTGAAAATAGTAAAGGCTATTCAAAATTCTAGGTTTAAGCTATAATTGTGCAAAGCCATAAGCATGGCAAGCAGTAAAACACAAGGGAGAACAAGCAGATTTAGAAACTGGAATCATATGGTGGTCAGAGACTTGGTCTCTCGTATAGAGATAATGGATGGTTCCATGCAATTCCTGATCAAGTGATAAATTAGCACAGACTCCTAGCTCCCTCCTAAACCCAGTTTTGGACTCATCAGATTAATACAGAAATTGTGAAAAATTCCTGAGGTGCCATAAACCAGACCCCAATGAAAGAAAAGACAGTGTTGAACTGAAGAGCTGGAAGCCATGCATGGAGACAAGGTGGGTAATTGGAGGCAGTTCCTGCCTCTGGCCTCCTCCAGGCTCTGAGGGAGCCATGTGGCATACCAGAGCACAGCGGGGGCCACTGACAAAGCACCATGTGGCAATGGAGCCTCTCTAGGGTAGGAATAGGTAGGAACCATTTCCTCCTGTGGCCAATCCCCTTCAGACCTTATGGCCTACATGATTAAAAGAAATAGAAACTACCTAGCAGAACAACAGAACCCAAGTAAAAATTAGCACACAAGTCTTGTGCAGTGAAGGCTGTGCAAGCCCTCCCAAATGCACACAGGGCAGCTTGCCAGAGCTGCAAGGCAGGAAATGGATGCTGGAAGCCAAGCATGAGGTAGTTAAACATAGGTGCACTAGAGGTCAGGAGTAAAAGCTAATAGCTGTCAAAAAAAACCCCATAATAAATGGTTATAAAGTTAGATTGGCTTCCCCAGTAGCACAGCAGAGAGACAGAGCAGTCAAGGAACTTCTTCAGAGTGTGTCTGGAAGGGCTGGAAATAAAATGTCATGCACACTAAAGATGTTCACCGAAGTCATTCATAAATGCATGTGTGTACATAGTTGGAAGATAAGTGGAAGCGGGGAGATTAGCATTTGTATAACAAAACTCTAGAAAGAAATTTTTAAGATGAAGAAGTGTTCAAGAGATATTTCCCAAGCTTTCATCAAATGAGAATCCTAAGATTGAATAAGACCCTAGGGTAGTAATAGGTAGAAAACAATCCCAACACTAGAGAGGCTGAGATAGGAGGATCACTACAAATCTGAGCTGTGTAGCAAGAGCCTGTGCCAAAGAAAGAAAGGGAAAAAAAAAGAGAGAGAGTTAAATCCTACACCGAGAGGTGTTACGTTGACCTGATGTCCACAGCCCTTGAGCCCTCAGTTGGTTTGGTTGTGGGTTTTTTCTGTTTTTCTTTCTGCATTTTAGACTGCACGATTTCTACTGACTAATTTTAAGTCACTGATTCTTTCCTCTGTACTGTAGGCCTTCAGAAGTGTTCTCATTCTGACACTGTGGTTTTATTTCTGCCATTTCTATTTAACTTGCTTATGGTTTTCATCTCTCATCTAAAATTTGACATTTTTCAAGAATGCAGCACACATTCAATGTTTGTCAATTTATAGTAGGCTTATATCTAAATAAATGCATCACTAATTGAAAATATTTAGGCCAGGGATGCCTTGCATACCCTTCGTCTGGCCAAGCTCACTATAAGGCAGGCTCTGTACCTGCCTCAGCATGGGATTTCTCAGCAAGGAAACCATGTATGATGATTTACTATCCAAACTGAAAGAAAAATTCTTGAAAAATTCAAAGAAACCAACAAAAAATAACAGATTAGAACAAGATTTTCAATCATTACAGATTCAAGAAGGTATACATTTCAAAATGTTTTATGTTTAACTAATAATATCATTACTTAAATATGAGAAGTAAATTAACATATTCTCAGACACTAAAACTGAAGAAATTTAACACAAAATACCCTCAAGAAACACTTTTGGAGAAATGTGTCATTATTATAAGAAATAAATCAAAGAGAATCAGGAGATATGCAAGTTAAGTATAATTAATTAATTTAGTAAAACAATACCATTGGTGTAGCAAAGAACATTTCTCAAAAGTATATAAATTCATCATAATCTGTAACTAAAATTCTAGATGATTCCAACAAAGGGGGAAGGGAGGGAGAGAGGTGGCAGTTCTAAGAAGACTGAGAGAAAACTACCAGCAAAGAAACAGAAGTGAAGTTCAGAGGGTGATGGAAAAGTACAAGCAAGAATGTGGGTCTTATGGTACTAGGGTGACACATTAACAGTGTGACAGATAGCTCTTATTCATGCAGGGGAACGTTTGGGTCTTTCCAACAGCAGGCAGAAGAGGAGAGTGAAAGAAATTTGAACAACTAAAAAATCCAGCATGAACAATAACTACCATAAATTATAAATGAATTAAATTCCTTCCCCATTTAAAACATAAGAATAATCTAATTCTTTTTTTTTTTTTTTTTTTGTCTCTTTGAGACAGGATTTCACTATGCAACCTTTCAGACTGCCCTGCTGTTCACTTTGTAACCCAGGCTGGTCTATAACTTGCAGTGATCCTCCTGCCTCAGGCTCCTGAGTGCTGGTGTTACAGGCTCTGATTCAATTTTAAAACAAAAATCTACTAATTTATTTTCCACAAGCCTCATCCTCAAAGCAAAGGACACAATATGAAGCAGCCCCTTTAGCAAACAGCTTGGTGGTAAACCAGTAGCATCACGCAGGGTCATCTGTTGTGACCGGGCAATACCACTCTGGAAACATGTACTCAAGAGAAGGGCAAATCCAAGTTCAAGAAAACCAGACATTTATAGCAGCAGCATTCACAATATCCAAAAAGTGGAAACAACCCAAACATCTATTGTCTATGTAAACAAAGTATATCATATCCATACAATCATGAAAACATGGGTTGGGGGATAATTCAGTGGCTTAAATGCCTGCCCAGCAAGTACAAGGTACTAAGTTCAATCTCCAGTACCAAAAAAAAAATCATAAAAACACTTCATCATGTAAAGAAAGTTAGTCACAAAAGCCTGTGTATTACATTATTCCATTTATAGCACATGTCTAGAATAAACAAATCTGTAGAGACAGAACAGCTTAATGTTTGCCCGGGGCTGAGGAAACGAGAGAAGTTACTATTATGGGTATGAGATTTCTCCTTAGCATGACAAAGATGTTTTAAAATTAGCAGTTATGATTGTACTTTTGTGAAAATGGCAGAAAACACTGAATTATTCACTTTTTTTTCAAAATTTTATTGATAAACAGCAATGAGACAGTTTCAAATCAAATCAGAAGTACAGTTTCAAAAAATAACACACTGCATATATTCTTCT